GTCCACAAGGTGGGGAACTTGGAAAATGAATAGTGAAGAGTTAGTGGGGGCAAGTTGGGCTGTTGACCATTGTTGGGGTACTTTGGGAGATGAGGTGGGGCCCTGGAGCCTATAGACAGAGTGTGTAGAAGTATAGAATCAGATCTCATCCTGCTGTCTCAACCCTCCCTCCCCTCACAGGGCTCACCCCACCAGCTACCCCTCCCCACCAGTTATGGAAGCCCCTGGCTGCTGTCTCACTGCTGGCCAAAGCCAAATCTCCTAAGTCCACCGCCCAGGAGGGAACCCTGAAGCCTGAAGGAGTTACAGAGGCCAAACATCCAGCTGCAACCCGCCTCCAAGAAGGGGTCCATGGCCCTAGTCCAATCCATGTGGGCTCTGGGGACCATGACTATTGTGTCCGGAGCAGGACACCCCCCAAAAAGATGCCTGCCCTAGTCATTCCAGAGGTGGGCTCCCGATGGAACGTCAAACGCCATCAGGACATAACCATCAAACCTGTCTTGTCCCTGGGCCCAGCTGCCCCAATGCTTTCACGCACAGCTGTCTCCCAGGAGCCACTTGATTACAGGACTAGCAGTGAACAGGCAGATCCCTCCACCCCTTGCCTTGCCCCGTCTGCCTTGATGTCCCCTGAGGCCTCGCCCTGCCGGAATGACACTAGGACTCCCTCTGAGCCCTCAGCCAAGCAGCGGTCAATGCGCTGTTACCGAAAAGCCTGCAGGTCAGCCAGCCCCTCAGGCCGGGGCTGGCAGGGCCGCCGTGGCCGCAGCAGCCGTTCTGTCAACTCTGGGTCCAACAGGACCAGCGAAGCATCTTCTTCCTCATCCTCATCGTCGTCTTCCTCATCCCGATCTCGGTCCAGGTCCCTCTCCCCCCCACACAAGAGGTGGCGAAGGTGAGCTCTGAGGGCTTGTTAGGTCCTCTCCACTTAGGAAGTTCATGTACTCTTCTCTGATTTTCTTTGAGAACTTTTGTGAATTTGATACTTTCAGGCACTAAGGCTTCTATTTCTGTTTTTGGCTTTTATCTTCTTTCTCTTTCCTAGATCATTGAGGCAACAGACTTGAGAAGATAGTTTCTATTCCCTGTTGGAACTTGGGGTATCCCTGAGGTCTCCTGCTTCCTTGAGACCTGTGTTGGGGAGACTACTAGGGTTTGATCTTGACCATGTTGATTCTTTTGCATAGTGTGCCAGTCCTCATTTTTGTTACTGTACTGGTGGTGTAGGAAGATAGGATAGGGGGCTGTTAATGACAAACAGTCCTTTAATCTTGTTGAGGAAAGAATCTGGGGCATTTGCTTTTGAGCTTATTGTGGCCTCACCTCTTTTTTGGTAGTACCTTTTTCTTAGTGACAGACCCAAATTTTCCACTTAGTGAAGAATTCTTGTTTTTTGACAGTGAAGCATATCTTCATTAATTGCCTGTATTGTAGGTTTAGTGCAGTCATGTCCCCTTTATGCCATGGTCATAAGCATTCCTTTGAGACATGTTAGGGGAGCCAGGAACCTGGAGATCCAGGCCTGGCCACCCTACTAGTTGTCAGACCTAGAACCCAGCTCTTTGTCTTTGTGAGTCTCCATTTATTTTTCTTCTTTCTGATGTGGTAGATACTTTTTTCAATTTTTTTGATTGCATAATTGAAAATAATTATGATCTGTGCCCAAACAGTTAAGACATTCCAGATACATCTAAAGTTTGTGAGAACTTCAGTTTGATTATCTGTGAAGAGTTCTTGTAGACTTCCTCAGCTTTGCTTTTGGTCTTGAACTTCCTGATGAGGGTTGGGGTGGCAGAGACCAAGGTGAGGTAAGTGGAAAATAGCTGCTCCACTTCCAGCATTATTGCATGTCCCTTCATTCTTCAGGTCTAGTTGCAGTTCCTCTGGGCGATCCCGAAGATGTTCTTCCTCCTCCTCCTCCACTTCCTCCTCTTCCTCCTCTTCCTCTTCCTCATCCTCCTCATCCAGTTCCCGAAGCCGGTCTCGCTCTCCATCTCCCTGCCGGAGAAGTGACAGGAGACGGCGGTAAGTACATGTTCAGGGAGCCAGTGCATCTGGGACGCAAGTGCCTGAGAGTCTGAAACTTGAGTTGTCTAATGTCTTGGTGACTGATGACACCCTTTCTTGTCAGGTACAGCTCTTACCGTTCACATGACCATTACCAAAGGCAGAGAGTGCTGCAGAAGGAGCGTGCAATAGTGAGTTACAGGGTCCTGGGAGGAGAGGGGACTTGCCTCTGAGCAATAAGCTCAGGGAGCCGTCTGAGGCTGTTGCCTAGGCTCATGGTGTGTGGATTTTTCTTGACTCAACATAGGAAGAGAGAAGAGTGGTCTTCATTGGGAAGATACCTGGTCGCATGACTCGGTCAGAGCTGAAACAGAGGTTCTCTGTTTTTGGAGAGATTGAGGAGTGCACTATCCACTTCCGTGTCCAAGGGTAAGATTGAACCCTAAGGTTAGAATGGACTTTTTGCTCAGGTGTGCTGGGCAATGTGACATACCTTCATTGCTGCAGAGGGTTGGCCACTTGGGGAATTTCTTTCTGTAACCTGGCATGTGCCTAGATAGCCATGATAGCCCCTGCCTCACCCTCCCCACCAGTGACAACTATGGCTTCGTCACTTACCGCTATGCTGAGGAAGCATTTGCAGCCATCGAGAGTGGTCACAAGCTGAGGCAGGCAGATGAACAGCCCTTTGATCTCTGCTTTGGGGGCCGCAGGCAGTTCTGCAAGAGAAGCTATTCTGATCTTGGTGAGTGGAGGGTATACCACCTTTCCCCAGAAGGGTTCCCAGACTGTTGAGAGTGGGAGTGGGTCAAGGCAGACTTGTCTTCATCTAACATAAGAAGAACCTAGGGGGAGGGATGAGAGAAGTGGGGACTTTCCTATCTGACTTAAAATCAGGGCAATTTTAGCTCCATCGATTATTGGGATGGGAGATGGCTGGCCACATGAGGACCCTGTGGTTGGGAAGTGTGGTCAGAGACTTTGTTTGTCTTTTTCTACCCTTATAGACTCCAACCGGGAAGACTTTGACCCTGCTCCTGTAAAGAGCAAATTTGATTCCCTTGACTTTGACACATTATTGAAACAGGCCCAGAAGAACCTCAGGAGGTAACCCTGGGCCCTTCTCCCCCTCTCCCTTTTCTTTGGAGGTGCCCAGCCTCCGCCCCCCTCCCCCACTCGGGGAGAGCTGCTAGTGAGGAGATGACTGTTTTATAAAGAAATGGAAAAAAGTGAAATAAAAAAAATGTGTTAAATCAGATTTTTTTACAGGGGTATTTCTTTTTTATAGCAGGCATTGAAACATTAATTTGCATTCCTATGTAACATGGATGGGGCTGTGGGGTTCCCCCAGTGTTTGGAACATCTAAGTCACTATGCAGACTAATAAACATGAACTAGAAAGAACTCCCAAGTGCTGCTGTGCTTCTTTCTATGGTGCTAGTGCTAGGCACATCACTTTGCCTCTCTGGACACAATCAAGAACATGCATACCTCCATTGAGTTCCTAGGACCTCTCCTGTCAAGGTGCAGAATCCTTCTGGGTTTGAAACTTGGCTCTTTAATAGTGTGTTGTCAGTGAAATCAGTACTCTTGGGCAGTTCTTCTCAAACTTTAAAAGGGCATTGAAGGGGGCCTCCTTGGTGGCTCAAGGGGTTAAGATGCAACCTATGAAGCTCTCCACAGCCACTGCAGCACGAGTTTGATCCCTGGCCAGGGAGCTACCCACATGGAGCAGCAGACCTCTCCTGACTTGCCCATTGCTCCCCTCAGCAGTGTATTTCAGTCAGTCTGCCTGTTCTGTTTCCCACTCTGTCTCTTGTGAATCCTCTTACCCTCACACCTCTGTACCACATTTCTTGTATGCATAAATAAATAAATCTTTTTAAAAAAATAAAAAGGGCATTGAATTATCTAGAGTTCTTTATATAATGCGGAGTCTGACTGGTGGGCCAGGGCCTGAGATTCTGCATATCAAACAAGGAAATGCTGGCATCCCAGGAAGGAATTCTAATATCAGAGACCTAGAGGAAGCTCACGTGTACCAAATAAGGGTTTCCTAAACTGAGGCTTGTGTGTACATGCATTGTTTTAGTATGAACGCAGGGCTTGGCACACAGGTGCTTAGATTTTAAAGAATAAATGCATTGCTAAAACTCTTTGAGAGGGAGACATAGGCGCTTATAGAGGGGAGTGCCTGTGTTGAGAAAGGCAAAGGAGTTATGTCCCCTAAAAGGATCCTCACCCTTCCTGAGAGACCAAGTAGTCGGGGAGTAGTGGGTAGTACTAAAGGGGTTGCTGCCTGCGAATGTGAGCTGAAATACTATAGAACTGAAATTGGCAGGTCTGGGTATTGATACAAAGGGAGGCAGCAGTTGGGTTTTCTAGTTCTCCCATAGGCAGAGTTAACATTGTGGTTGAATTCTACCCAGGAAATAAAAGGGCTATTTTAGAAATGTGGGTTGAAGAGATTGCTCCTGGATCATTCAGATTACTCTTCATGGAACTTATCAACGCTGAAGTGGGGGTAAGTCATGATTGAGGGAGAGGCAATTGTGGGGATCCACACCCCACTAACCACGGAGAATCTGAGGGTCCTCTGCAGTGGGGTCTGGAGGATGTTAAGATAGGGCCTCCCTGGGTGCAGGAGGTAGGGATGATGAGGTCTGGGAAATCCACTGGCCACGCCATTGTGGGCGGTCAAGAGAGATGATTTGGTCAGGAGGCTCGCTCACTACTCGGGAATCCAAATTTCAGCTGGGGCGCGGGAAGGCCGGCGTTTTCCCGCCACGACGGGGGGCGTGACCCCTGACGTCAGGGCTCCGCCTTCACTAAGTGGCGGACAGCGGGCTCCGCCCTCACCAAAATGGCGACACTCCTGGGACCGGAAAGAGCTTATAGAATTCGCCTTGACCCGGTCGGCGCGGTGGAGGCGGGACTGCCCTATAGGGTATGCCCGCCCCTTCCGCCGTGCGCGATGGCGTCACGGACCCGCCCCACCTCCCGGTTCCTGGCTTTCCTGAGTCGTGCGCGTCGGCGACGGTAGTGACGTGTATTGCCCGGAGGATGGCGGACGCCGGCTTGCGCCGCGTGGTTCCCAGCGACCTGTATCCCCTCGTGCTCGGCTTTCTACGCGATAACCAGCTGTCGGAGGTGGCCAATAAGTTCGCCAAGGCAACAGGCGCTGTGAGTCCCGGGCTTGGGTTCACGGACTGGGGGGAATAACTGAAGGTCTCGGGCCCTGATATGCCCAGGTTTCCTGGCGGCCAGGTCCGCGGGGTCCGCCAGCCCACTGTTGGCGGCGGCTTTGTGCGAGCTGCTGCTGTGACCGGAGAGTGCTTGGAGTCGGCACCTCCTCTTAACGGAGGTGTGTCCCCTTGCTTTTTTTGGTGAGTGGCACCGCGGCGGCGGTAGCGTGGGACCCTCGTGGCCCAGGTCACGTGGCTGACGGAGTAAGGCGAGGAGGGAGCGCTGAGTCCCACATGAGCTTTGGGAGGCTCCTGGTTCCTTCCTTGGGCTTTACGTTGACTGATGTAAAGATTAAATTACCCGGCATTTGAACATAAATAACATTGCTTTGGAAGTGAAGGTTGGGATTTTCGTTAGTAAAGGGTGGAGAGAGAGGTTTCTGCTTTTAGTTAATACTGAAGCAGGATTGAGCTTCGTAGCTCTACCAAGCCAGCATGGTAGTGAGCTTGGATCGTTGATCTTTGACTAATCAAATCTAGGTTTGGGACGGGGCACCTTGCGACCTCTCTAGGTCTGTTTCTGCTTATACAGGGGTGTCTTCAACCACTTTATAGGATTTTGTGAGTTTCAGTAACATAATCAAAGCCATAATCCCAGTTACTTGCTCAGGAAGCTTCAGTAAGTGAAAGCTGTTATAGTTATGGTAGTCTAGGGTATTCCAAACACAGTGAAAGAAAGATAAGCAGTCATGTGAACGGTTTGGAATCTACATCTCAAGAAAAGTCGACATGACTATGTGGGAAAACTACTTGAGAGAAGGCAGAGCAGAATAGTGGTCTTTGACAGTATTATATTAAAAAGTCTTTGACTAAGAAGATAGACTTTTCTTTTATGACAGAACCGGGCTGCAAAAGGAGAGAATTAGATCAACCTCAGAAAACTTGGGATAGTCTGCCAGGCGATTTAATAGAATTCTTTTCATAATGTAACTGTTTTGAATTGATTTATAAGTATTTCCACAATGAGCTGGATGGAATTAAGCCTTTCATATTTAGGATTCTTTTTTGTTACAAAAGCTAATCTTTGTGGAAGTCTTACTAAGCAGCCAAATACTGTTTCCAGATGCCAACCCCTTCATAGGCATCATCACTTACCATCTCAACAACTTAATAAGGTGTATAGTATTACCTCCATTTTATAGAGAAAAAAATCTTAGGAAGATTAATTTGCTTAGGATCACATGGTAATAACTGGCAGAGGTGAGTGTCACATCCACACTGAGTGCACTGTAATTAATGTCTCGCCATTTTTGGGCATCAATCTGTAAGTGTGATTAATAGCTGAAAGCAGTTTTGCATTGAATATATGACATAACCTTTTTACCGATCTTTGTTGGGCACTGATTTCCAATGATTTGGTATTATAAACCACATTGTACAAACACCCTCTTGTATAAATGCTTCATGGATGAGGGTAAGTCCTAGATAATACTTTGCTAAAGCAAAGAAAATGCTCTCTTTTTTTTTTTAAGCACTAAAGGCTTTGTTAATAGGATTGGTGGAGTAGAAGATGCCAAAATGTATAGGAATTACCCAAGTTTTTTATACCTAAAATTGGGAAATACATTAAAAAATGTTTATCTCCTAATTTATGCAAAAAAAAAGTCTTTTGAAACTAACATTTTTTTTTTTTAAAAGATTTATTTATTTATTTATACAAGCACTGGGTACAGTCAGAAGCACCGGAGGGTGAGAGAATTCACCAGAGCCAGAGCGGGGAACAGAACAGGCAGACTGAGAAATACACTGCTGAGGGGAGCAGCGGGCGGCAGGAGAGGTCTGCGCGCCATGTGGGACCCTCCTCCGGTGGCTGGGGAGCAGCCGGGGATCAAACCGGTGTTGCAGAGGCTGCGGGCAGCTTTGCAACACAGCGCTCAACCACTGCGCCACCAGGGAGGCCCGAAACTAACATTTATACCAAAGAGAGCATGGCAAAGTGTATTGCCTTTTTTTTTTTTAATAATTTTTCCCGGGCCTCCCTGGTGGCACAAGGGGTTAAGACGCAACCTATGAAGCTGTCTGCAGCAGCCTCTCCAACACGAGTTCGATTCCCTGGCTGGCCAGGGAGCTGTTGCCCACATGGTGCAGCAGACCTTTCCTGACTCGTCCACTGCTCCCCTCCGCTAAATCTCCAGCTAAAAAGAAGCCACAACAGTGTACTTTGGTCAATCTGCCTGTTCTGTTCCCCACTCTGTCTGTGGTGAATCCTCTCGCCCCCCCCACACCTCTGGCCTGAATCCCAGCTCTTGTAAGCATAAATAAATCTTTTAAAAAAAATAATTCCCGGGCCTCCCCGGTGGCGCAGCAGTTGAGCGTTGGGTTGCAAAGCTGCCCGCAGCCTCTGCAGCACCAGTTCGATCCCCGGTGGCTGGAGGGGGTCCCACATGGCGTGCAGACCTCTCCTGCCGCCGGCTGCTCCCCTCAGCAGTGTACTTCGGTCCTTCTGCCTGCTCTGCTCCCCGCTCTGGCTCTGCTAAATTCTCTCACCCTCCTGCACTTCTGACTGTACCCAGTGCTTGTATAAATAAATAAAAATAAATCTTAAAAAAAAAATAATTCCCACCCCTTTTTTAAATATTTATTTATTTATTTATACAAGAATTGGGGTATAGGTCAGAAGCACAGGAGGGTGAGAGAATCCACCAAAGACAGCAGGAAGCAGAACAGGCAGACGGATTGAAGACACTGCTAAGGGGAGCAGTGGGCGAGGCAGGAGAGGTCTGCTGCTCCATGTGGGTTTCTCCCTGGCCGGTAGGGAATCGAACCGGTGCTGTGGAGGCTGTGGACAGCTTTGCAGTGCGGTGCTCAACCGCTGCGCCACTGGGGAGGCCAATTTTTCCCATTTTTTTTTCTTTTTTTAAAAGATTTATTTATTTATACAAGAGTTGGGGTACAGGCTAGAGGTGCGGGAAGGTGAGAGAATTCACCGGAGACAGAGCAGGGAGCAGAACAGGCAGGCGGACGAAGGCACTGCTGAGGGGAGCAGTAGGCGAGGCAGGAGAGGTCTGCGGCGCTGTGTGGGTATCGCCCTGGCCGGCCAGGAATCGAACCAGTGCTGCAGAGGCTGCGGACAGCTTCACAGTGTGGCACTCAACCCGCTGCGCTACCGGGGAGGCCCGTGTATCGCTTTTACTGAGTGAGAGAATAACACAAAATTTGATCGACCTTAGAATAACCAGGATAAAGTTTTCTTACTCAGCTCCTTCTCTTTTCTTCTATAGACCCAGCAGGATGCCAATGCCTCTTCTCTCTTGGACATCTATAGCTTCTGGCTCAAGTAAGCCCTCCCTGTACCACTGTGACTGTATTTTCCCAGGTGGATTGGGTTATGTTTGGTTTGGGATCTTCTGAGCTCATATACCTCAGCAGGTCCCCCAAGGCCCCAAAGCGGAAGTTACAAGCAAACGGACCTGTGGCTAAGAAGGCTAAGAAGACCTCCTCCAGTGATAGCAGTGAAGACAGCAGTGAGGAAGAAAATGCTCAAGGGCCTCCAGCTAAGAAAGCTGGTAAGGCCAAGCAGGGAATTGGGGCTAGTGGTTCCAGGAAAAGGATTTATAACCTGCCTGTACCACATGGCTGATTCTTACTCAGGGGCCTGTGCTTTTGTTCAGCTATACCTGCCAAGCGGACCAATCTGCCTCAGCATGTTGGAAAGGGTGCAGTCAAACCATCTGAGAGCAGCAGTAGTGAAGAATCCAGTGATGAGGAGGAAGAGGACAAAAGGAAAAAGCCTGTTCAGGTTTGCAGCTTTGGGAAGGAAAGGGGGTCCTTAAGGAATTGGAAAGAGGAAACCTAAGGTCTGATCTTTTAGTTTATGACCAAGAGATGGTGGTGGGTATTCAAAAGGTGATTGTGGGGAAGAAAATTTGGGAACTTATAGAGAAACGATGGAAGTGTGAAGTCTGGAAAGCATATGTGCAGTTGGAGTTGGACTCTCAATCTAAAGGAAATTCATCCCAATCTGCTTCCATGGGGTGGTGAGTTTCTCTGGGAAAATGAGAAACTTTTTTTTTTTTTTTAAAGATTTATTTTATTTATACAAGAACCGGGATACAGGCCAGATTTGCAGGAGGGTGAGCGAATTCACCAGAGACAGAGCGAACAGGCAGACCAACCGAAATACACTGCTGAAGGGAGCAGCGGGCGAGACAGGAGAGGTCTGCCGTGCCATGTGGGTTGTTCTGCTGCCGGCAGGGATTGAACCAGCATTGCAAAGGCTGCGGACAGGTTCACAGAGCTGCACTCAACCGCCTGCGCCACCAGGGAGGCTCAATGAGAAACTCATTTTTAAGAGAAGAGTGTGTTTTGTAGGTGTTAGGGACTCTTGGCAGGGAATGACAGGAACAGGACCAGTATCTCAAAAGGGTGACTTTTTTTTTTTTAAGAGCTTGTTGCTTTTTCTCTATTAGCTTTCTCTAGCTTTTTATTAACCCCTAAGAATAAAAGGAGCCCTTTGGGTCTCTGGATGCAGTTGATTTTTCTCTTTGTTTTCTTACAGAAAGTAGTTAAGCCCCAAGCCAAGGTGGTCAAAGTTCCTCCTAAGAATAAGGCAGCTGAGAGTTCTGATTCTGATTCTGACTCAAGTTCAGAGGATGAGGCACCAAAGAACCAGAAGCCAAAGACAACACCTGTGACAGCTAAAGCTCAGGCAAAAGCCCCGCCCAAACCAGGTACTGTTTCTGGTGCTGAGAGGCCAGAGTGGGGACCAGGTTTCCTGGGGACTGGTGTTTAAATTGCTCATTCAGCACGGGGCTAAAATGGCACTGGTTGTTGAACTAGAGGGTATTAGTTTTTTTTTCCTTTTAAAAAGCTTTTTACTAATAAGTAAAAAAAAAACAATTAAGGGCTACTAACTAGAGAAATGGTCTGTAGCAAAGGAAAACGCTATCAATTTGGCATTTTTAGTTACATTTCACAGACGTTTTATAGACCCACAATCCCATTCTACTGTGACCATTTATACATGCGTTCTTTGTGTCTTTTGCTACCATTTTTTCTTCTCCACTCCCTCTACATTCATTCCATAGAATAAATGAAGATTTTCTTTTATAATTGTCTAGTCATGAAGGTTACGTTATGATTTTTAGGAGCTTCTCGGAATGGAAGTTAGAGTGAAAGACTTCAGAGAACATATTTAAATTATTTGCAATGTATCACTTCTTAAGAGATAGTTTTTATATATTCTTAGAATTGGAAAGGAAAGTCCTCATTTGCCATAGTAAACCACCAGTTTTCCTTCATGCTGGTTCTAAAGGCAAGATAATTGATAGACTCCTATATTCTGAGCTAATGGAAAGGCAATTTTTATGGTACATTTAATTTTTTTTAATTAAAGATTTATTCATACAAGAGCTGGGGTGCAGGCCAGAGGTACGGGGGGTCCTGGGGAGGTGAGAGGATTCTCCAGAGACAGTGGGAAGCAGAACAGGCGGATCACTGCTAAGGGGAGCAGCAGGCAAAACAGGAGAGGTCTGTTGCGCCATGTGGGTCACATCCCTGGCCAGGGATTGAATTCATGTTGCAGTGGCTGAGGATAGCTTCATAGTGCTAAAACTTAATTCTTGTGGCACCAGAGAGGCCCCCTTTATTGTCCTTTAGTTCTTTGATACACTATACATGAATTCTTTTTTTCTTAGGTACTCCAGCTCGGGCAGCACCCAAAGTAGCCAATGGCAAAGCAGCTAGCAGCAGCAGCAGCAGCAGCAGCAGCAGCAGCAGTAGTGATGACTCAGAGGAGGAGAAGGCAGCAGCCACCGCTAAGAAGGTCTGGGCTATAAACCTCTACCAGGGAAAAGGTGACGGGGGAAGGAGAATGTCTCCTTTTCCTGGCAGGATTGGTTGGGTCAGCAATTTCCTATATTTACTGATTTTCTTGGTGTGATGCAGGCTGTACCTAAAAAGCAAGTTGTAGCCAAGGCCCCAGTGAAAGCAGCTGCTGTCCCTGCCCAAAAGAGTTCCAGCAGTGAGGACTCCTCCAGTGAGGAAGAAGAAGAAGAGCAGAAAAAACCTGTGAAGAAAAAGCCAGGTGACTGCATAGGGAGTCAACCTACCTGACTGTGTGACCACTGCCAGGTTGTGGGAGAAGCTCTGCATTCACCATGTGGACTTCTCTGTGGAGCCACTATGACAGCTAACGTCTCCAGGGAAAGTAGAAAGCTGAATTGCCTTTTATAACCTAGATTGGGAAGTGAGTCCATATTCTACTATATTCTGTTTTTTGGAAACGTGTCAGCAATTCAAGGGAAGGGAATTAAGCTCCCATTTCTCAGAGGGGGTGGTATCAAAGAAATTGTGTATATATTTTAAGACTGCTATATTGTCCTTTTAAACAGGACCCTATAGTTCAGTACCCCCGCCTTCTGTTCCCCCACCCAAGAAGTCCCTTGGAACCCAGGCTCCCAAAAAAGCTGCAGAGAAGAACCAGCCTGTGGAGAGCAGTGAGGACAGCAGTGATGAGTCTGGTGAGTCCCCCCCAGTGGTAAGGGGGCCTGGGTGTGTGTGGAATAAAGAAGACAAAAATTCTTCTGTTGATGTTTTTCACTGAAACAAGACAGGGCTTCACATCCTTTTTTAAATTGCTCTTGGTTGGGTTAGGACTCTATCCAACCCAATGCCATCGGTTCTCTCCAGATTCAAGTTCTGAAGAAGAAACAAAACCCCCAGCTAAGGCAGGCACCACAAAAGCAACTGCTAAACCAGTTCCAGCAAAGAAGGCAGCAGAGAGCTCTTCGGACAGCTCAGGTAAGGCATTTGGCGGCCCTCAGGGCAGTGGGATACTCGCTTCCTTGAGTAGGTTACTCCCGGGGTTCCTCTCAGTCTGATTGGGTAGCTGTTCATTCTGTCCTTTCTGTCTAGACTCAGACAGTTCTGAGGATGAAGCTCCTGCCAAGGCAGTCATTACTACTAAGAGTCCTTCAAGTAAACCAGCTGCCACTTCTAAGCAGCTTGCAGCTAAACCTAAGCAGCTTGCAGCTAAACCATCCATAACTCCCAAGCAGACTGCAGGCAGTGGCCAGAAGCCTCTGACTAGAAAGGCTGATAGCAGCTCCAGTGAGGAGGAGAGCAGTTCTAGTGAGGAGGAGGTGGAGACAAAGAAGACTGTGGCCACCCCTAAGACTACCCCTAAGGTGACAGCCAAAGCAGCTCCATCTCTGCCTGCCAAACAGGCCCCTCAGGGTGGTGAGAATAGCAGCTCTGATTCAGATAGCTCCAGCAGCGAAGAAGAGGAAGAAGAGAAGACATCTAAATCTCCAGCTAAAAAGAAGCCACAGAAGGCAGCAGGAACTATAACTCCATCCAAACCAGCCTCCACAAAGAAAGTAAAGGCTGAGAGTGACAGCAGTTCTTCCTCTGATGACTCCAGTGAGGAGGAGGAGGAGGAGAAGCCCAAAGGCAAGGGCACCCCAAGACTACAAACCCCCAAGACCAATGGTACTTCTGTGCTGACTGCTCAGAATGGAAAAGCAGATAGAGACAGTGAGGAAGAGGAGGAAGAAAAGAAAAAGGCAACGGTGGCAGTTTCCAAGCCAGGTCTGTATCCAAAGAACCTAGGGTTTGTCTTCCTCAATCAGGATGGGTTGAGGGAGGAGGCGCATGACTAGGCTTCTAGTTGCAGGCTCTCAGTATGAGAGCCTGGGAGGAACAAACGGAACCTGGTCTTCTGAGTCTGCCTTCTTGTAGGTTCAGGGAAGAAGCGGAAGCAGAATGAGGCTACCAAGGAGGTGGAGACTCCTCACGCCAAGAAGATAAAGCTTCAGACCCCCAACACATTTCCAAAAAGGAAGAAAGTAAGTTGTCTCTTTTTCTCTAAGGAGCTAGCCTTTGAAGAGTAGAAAGGAAAATCTGGAATCATCTTGACTGCTGTCTGCCTGGCTTGGCACATGTGCATATATTTGTAGTTCAGAGGGCTTTTCTGTTAAGTGGCCATTCCTCCATCTTTAATTTCCTCCTTCATTCTCTAGGGAGAAAAAAGGGCATCATCCCCATTCCGAAGGATCAGGGAGGAGGAAATTGAGGTGGATGCCCGAGTAGCAGATAACTCCTTTGATGCCAAGGTAAAGAGAGAGGGGTGTTCATGCTGGAGGGGGAGCGGGTGGTGGAAGAAAGGGCAGCTTTTCGCTCAGGTTGATGAGAAGTTCTCTGGGTTCAGGTTGCCTTGAACAGGAAGAAGAAAGTAACAGGATCCTGGTGATGTCTGTTAACCACTTCTCTCTACTTACCAGCGAGGTGCAGCCGGAGACTGGGGAGAGCGAGCCAATCAGGTTCTGAAGTTCACCAAAGGCAAATCCTTCCGGCATGAGAAAACCAAGAAGAAGCGGGGTAGCTACCGGGGAGGCTCCATCTCTGTCCAGGTCAATTCCATTAAGTTTGACAGCGAGTGACCTGGCACTCTGCCCTCGAAGCAGGGGTGAATACCTGAGACCACTTACTTTCCCAGCTGTTAGGGGAGAGTGTTGGTGAGGACAGCAATTTAGAATAGGTCTGAGAACATTGCATCATAACATCTCTGGTCTTTTTCTGTGTTCTGTAGTTTTGTACAGATTTGGTTTTGAGTGTTAAGTAACAAGGATAAGGCAAGGGGAATGTTGTGTTTTTTTTTAAGAAAATTCATTTTAGTTGTCACCCCCTCTCCCTATTCATTGGAAGTCCTCATACTGAGAAATTTGTATATTTTATATTAAATCATTTCCTGTTGATTTTTGTTGTGATTTTTTAGAAGTGGGTTCCCACAGATAAAATCTTAGCTGTTGCTCAAGACATAGTAAAGGTCACCTGTATGGATTTGTCTAACTGGTGAATTCTGCCTATGTGAGTACACAGATCCACACTTCATTCCTCCTACCTCTCAGAGCCCTGGTGAGGGGGTGAAGAATGGTTAATACATATGTCTGTGAAGCATGCACTCGTTCCTTGGCTCTAAGACTGAAGTTTTCAGCCAGCATGGGTTTACCTACTTTTTTTGGTCACTGTTTTATTGTAGGCAAAATTCTGGTATGGTGCGAATGTCATGGGTCTGTTTGAATAGCTTATTTTCTGTAATTTTACCATTGTATGTCAGCAACACATTTGGTTTTTTGTAATTTGAAAGCAAACTTTTCTATCGTTCAGAGATTTTTTAATGACTTGACACTTAGCTAGTGTTGAGTACTAAATTGAGGACTACACTTTTTCCTTTTTTTTTTTTTGGTACATTTTAGAGTACAAAGTTGTGTTAATTTAATCTGAAAAGCACATATCACTTGATATTTCTGTCTTGGTAGGAGTGGTGACACAAAACTGGTCTCATTAACTCCTAAATGGTTGTAAATCAATACTTAAGAAAAAAAGTTAATGAAAAAAAAAACTAAAAACCTCAATTTTTCAGTAGGAGTTAGGTTACAATAGTCAGGTGAATTGAGAGGTAACCTATGTATGTGCTAATAGAGGTGGGAAGAGCCTTTACAAAGTATATTATCAGTAAAACTTGAGAGGGATTGGGAGAGCATATTAAGGGGAATATTGTGTTTTGTAGTTGGTATATGGGAGCAATTGATGTGCCCTCTTTAGAACCTTGACTGTCAGCGATAGGGAGGGTAACAAACAAATGAGCAGAGATGGGACTCTTAGGCCAACCTGGCTGATTGTAAAGCTGTAGGAGACAACAGTTGGCAGTACTTAGCCAAAGCAAAATGTGGAGGAAATAGTCCCCCAACTCTGGAAGCGGGGCTGTCCCTGTGGTGGGAAGGTGTGCTCTATCTTCATGGATGAGGTATCTGGTCTTAAGATTAGCTTCCTTGGTATGAATTCCATACTCTCTGAATAACCTGATAATAACTGAGTTTTCCTTGTAACTGCCTCTGGGAAGAAAATGTGCTATTCATGCTGACATAGGTATTTCAGTCTGCATGGTAAAAATTAAACAACTACAAAACAATAAACTGCTGGTTTATACTGTGTCTTGGGATTTTTATTGTGAGTCTGAACCCTTCGCACTTTGAAGGAGGGTGGTGCTAGTGGGCAAAGGCTGACGGCCACAGAGCTGGCAGGCATGAGCTGGCAGCCACAGGAGAGGTGTGGGAAAGAACGTGCTTGTGGTCGCCTTATACCTCTGGGAGACAAAAGGGGGCGATGAGGCAAAGTAGGGCAGAGGAAAGGTACCCCAAAGTAGAAAAAAAGCCCCTGGGAGCTTTTGAGAGCAGTGGAGACAGGAGAGGTCTGTTGCGCCATATGTACTGTTCCCTGGCGGGCAGGGGATCAAACGCAGTGGCTAGTAAACCCTTGCACTACCAGGGAGGTCACACATTACTCCTTAAAATAGATAAATGCTTTGTAAACTGCTTATTGTTTGAAGTTGTGGTTTTTTCTTTTGCATTTTTATAAACCTTCCTAATCTTGTTTGCTTGTTTACTTTAACAGGCCTTTTTCCTTTGGCCTTGTAAAGCTGAATATGATACATACATACACATGTGTATGTGCTTTCCCCACACCTCACACTCTCTGTGTGTGTGTGTGTGTGTGGTGTATGCCAGGAGGTATGAGGAAGGCACATACCGTGTAAGGAGACATTTTCCAGTGGAGAAGATGCCCTTCAGGTGATTCAAGTGGAGGGTGTTTGGGAGGTAGGGTCAAGGTAATGTTAAGACTAAGTGTTCAATGGCAATGGTCTTTTGTACCCTAGTCAGGAATTAGTACTTTCTTTTGTTCACCTGATTATCTTTGGGGATTGACAGTCCAAAGCAGTGCTTTTGTCAACAATTCAGCTGCCAGGATGGTAAAGTTAATACTGAATTCTCATTCCTCCCCTGGCACAACCTGCATAAGCTGTCTGCAGTTACTAGAGACACCAGTAGGTGGTGCTCTTGCCTGCTGTGCAGGCGCTAATAAGCAAGACTAGTTGAAGCTGAATTTTTTTTTTTTTTTTAGATTTATTTATTAATTTATACAAGCACTGGGTACAGTCAGAAGTGTGGGAGGGTGAGAGAGAATTCACCAGAGCCAGAGCGGGGAGCAGAACAGACAGACCGATGAAACACACTGCTGAGGGGAGCAGCAGGCGTCGCAGGAGAGGTCTGCGTGCCATGTGGGACTCTCGCTGGTGGCCGGGGATTGAACCAGTGCTGCAGAGGTTGTGGGCAGCTTTGCAGCCCAGTGCTCAACCACTGCGCCACCGGGGAGGCCCGAAGCCAAATTTCTTAATCCAGTTCAAGAAACATGGAGAACCTGCTGTGAGGCTTTGGATACAGGTGAATAACACATAGGCCCTCATTTGAGATACCAAATTCTGGAGAGTGGCGAGGGAAGGCCCTTCTGACCTATAGCCTGTCCTTGTTACCTGTGAGAGGTGACCTGTTACTTGAAACTCAGTAGCAGATACTATTGCTTGTAGAGGAATCCTGGTATTTACCATGGCACCCAAACTCTCAGCCTTACCCCCAGGTCCTACAGGGCTCTGGTTTCCTGAAAAGGGCAGCTAGCCACATGCCCCCATTAATGGAAAATTTAAATCTGAGCTCCAAAGTCCTGGCATTCTCCACTGTCTTCCCGTCTTCTCCCAGCACACTTCCCTCTTACCTCAGGATTGAGAACAAATTCCAGGCTTACACCTTGGAAGTGGGCTGGAGAATGGAAGGAGTAGGGAGTATTTCAGTAAATTAGTTTGCCATAATAGGAATTTATCCATAAATCAGTGCCACATGTGTGATTCAGTGCCATAATATGTGATTCTGTGGGCAATGTTGAGGAACAGAAAAATAGACACAGTTCTAGTGCTCACAGTTAACCCAGTCAAATGAGAGGCAAAGATTAATCTCAAATAAATGAGAAGTACGATGAAGGCAAGGTGCAAAGAGCCAGGAGAACATATAATGGCAGCAGCTTGTGACTCGTGGCGTTGGGACTTCCTCACAGAATGACCATGTATTAATAATTTATCATCTAAACTGGGTTGCTTTTGATAGCAATTCAGCTTTTGACAAACAGTCATAACAGACTATACTAGGCAAGCCAGGATATATCATCACTACAGTAATAGAAATCTTCAGTGAGAAAGTAATATTTTAGTTGAGAGAAGGTGAGGGTTAAGTGAATACGAGGGTGCAGGATGAGCAGGACTATGTATTTTCTAGCTGGAATAGCATGTGTCTTTGGTGGGAGGGAGTATAATGGAGATCCCAAACTGAAAAAAGACATGTACCTGAAAGAGCAAGGAGAGCTGTGTAAGAGGAGGCTAAAGAAATCGGTAGGGACCCGATGCAAAACCTTTGGAAGGCGTGTTTAAGATTTCAATCTTCAACCTAAAGTCAATGGGAAGCTTTTAAAAAATATGTCAGTTCCTCATCTGTTCAGGCTACTATAACAAAATTCCATGGACTGGGTGGCTTAGACAACAAATTTATTTCTCACAGTTCTGGAGTCTGCTAAGTTGAGGATGTAGATGCAGGCCTATTTGGTTCCTGATGAGAGATCTTTTCCTGGCTTGCAGACAACTTCTTGCTGTGTCCTCAACTGACATTGGAGGCACAGAAAAGCAAGTTCTCTGGTCACTTCATAAAGGCACTTATCCCATCATGGGGACTCCATCCTCATGACCTCAGCTAATCCCAATTACCTCCCCAAGGCCCCACCCACATGCCATCACATTGGGGCCCCGCTGTTAATTCTTGTACACTACTGGTGGGATTGTAAATTGATACAACCAATTTGGAAAACATTTTGCCATTTTTTAAAAATGACATATGGAGGGGTCTCTCTGGTGGTGCAGTGGTTAAAGTCACAGCACTATCAAGTCATTGCCCCATGAGTTGGAGCTCCCCCTTTTCCCCCACCAGGGATCTGACACACAAGGTACAGCAGACCTCTCTGTTCTGTTCCCCACTCTGTCTCTTGTGAATCCTCTCACCCCAGCACCCCTGGCCTACATCCCAGGTCTTGTATGCATAAATAAATTAAAAAAAAAACAACTTAAAGAAGGGTTCCTGGCCTCAACCCTGACCCCAATTAGGGGCAGCCTGCTGGGCCCCTGTGGTACCACCTAGGAGGTTCCGGCCGTGTGCTCCGACCCCAGTGCTCACTGCACAGGCAAGGCCAGATAGAGGGAACGGGAATGGAGATTCCCTGCTGTTCCCACTGCCTCCCAGGTCACCTGCCACCCCCAACGCCTCAGGTCTCCTTGTGAAATGTCCCCACAGCACCTCTTTCTGACAGGGACACTCAGCTCCGTAGCCCTGGAGGGAGGCAGCCTGGTCCGTGTCCTCAGCCCAGACCCGGACTTCACTCTAAGTCTTGGGGGAGCCTTGACAGGCGAGGACGAGACTCACGGTGGCAGCACCACCCGAGAGTCCTGCTGCAACAAGATGGTGTGGGCGTTCCAAGTGAAGTAGAGGCTCATTCACCCAACAATACGTGGGCAAGATGATCCACAGGGTTGGCTGTAGCAGAGGCTCATGTTTTCACTGCCATGTAGTAGTCCATTCAATGCCGAGTAATTGTACCATTCTATGCTACAGGCACACTAGATCATTTCATTCATATTTTCTTTTTTCTTTAAAGATTTTTTATTTATACAAGAACTGGGGTACAGATCAGAGGTGTGGGAGGGTGAAAGAATTCACCAGAGACAGAGCGGGGAGCAGAACAGGCAGATGGACTGAAGGCACTGCTGAGGGGAGCAGCGGACGAGGCAGGAGATGTCTGCCACGCCATGTGGGTTTCTCCCCGACCTGCTGGGAATTGAACCCGTGCTGAAGAGGCTGCGGACAGCTTCACAACACGGTGCTCAACCCGCTGCACCACCGGGTAGGCCCATCATTCATAGTTTCTATTCAAGCTGGAATAACATTATCTCAAGAAATGTACATGCCCATTGATTCATTGATCACTGTAACAGTTTATGTATATGGGAACTCTATTGGACTATTTCCTGGAGTTTTCATTGAGATTGTTTCCCAACATATGTTCCTGTAAATAAATGAAGTGCCAGGGGAAAAAAAAAAAACTTTAAAAAAATGAACATACACAAATAAATTGACATAGAAGTTCTACTCTGTGGGATAGGAGTGGGGAAATTAATGTATATGTGCCTCAGGAGACATTAAATAATATTCATGCACAACATTCTTTATTATAATCAACAAAGTAGAAAGTGTCCTTCCCCAGAATGGATGCTAGTTTCATGCAATGAGATAGTATGTAGCAATCAGAATGAACAAACTGCAAATACATTCAACAACAGTCACATTGACAAGCAATACTAAGCTGAAAGAAAAAAAGTTGTATTTTGTAGAACCTACTATGAATCAGATAGACTCCATCTTTTCTCTAATTGCCATGTTGAAAATTCTGAGTGAATTGCTGAATGCAAACTGACTCAGTAATTCCCTGTTTCTCCTTATCAGCAACTGTGAAAAAACAACTTCCTATTTTCTTCTTACTGCAACTAGGGAAGATAACAACTCCTTCTTATCTCCTTAGGAAGGAAACAGGAGATCATTTGCCGATTATTACAAAAGATCCCATATTATTGAGCTTTCTGGATTTGAACTAATTCAAAAGTTCCAAAACAAATGACCCAAAGCCAGACCATTCCCCTATTTGACCTTTGAAAGTCTTTGCTATTTATTCCCCGATCCCAGGTAGACTACACCTTGGCTGTGGACCCAGGTCATGATTTCTGTTCTCAAATAAATGCCTTCTTGGTTACAGCCTGATTATTTCGCAATTGACAATTTATATTAACATATACAAAAGAATGCCCAATGTGAGCCTGTGAATATAGCATTCAAAATCAGGCAAAATTAAACTATACTATTTAAGGATGCGTATTTAGATAATAAAAATACAAAGAAGGACATGATTACCATAAAAACTAGAACACAGGTTACCTTAAGTGGGAGGTAATTATAACTGAGAAATGGCATAAAGTGAGGTAGTAGGGTGTGGGCAATATATTATTGAATTAAACAGTGTTTTAGAATAATTCATTAA